GCCACGATGCCTCTACAATTATCTCATCCTATTTCTCTTTTAAAATCTTTGACACTAATTTCCAATATATTTCAACTTAGCTCATTAATTTTCTCAATTTCTTGACATATCCACGTCATATTTATTAACCAAAATATTAGGCTCTACCTGACATTTATCACACTCAATTTTTAAACTTCCCTGAATTTCCTCAACATTATTTACCATACTTTCAACTTTAATATTTTCTGAAACCACATTTTCCCCCAATTTATTCTCCAGGTTTTTACCACACACCTCCTCTACGAGCTTTTTATGTATTCCAATATTTTCCTCAACTATATTTTTCACTTTGAACATATTTCAAAAATTATTTTCCAATCCTAATTTTGATATCCAAGCCCATCCCATAATAGCACCAATTTCTTCTTTTATTATCCAAAGATCGAAAAAATGCACTACCTCTTTTATTAATACTGGTACATTTACCCTTCCCAAAACCATAATTTCAGCTCCATTTAATTGTCTTACTATCAACTTATCATTTATTATTTATTTATTCGGCCATAATTTATAAAATTCCTCAAACCCCATGACCTATATAGTAGTTCCTGTATCTAATAACATTGTAATTTCTTTATTTTCCCCTATTAATTCTCACACGTGGACACTAATCATAATTAATATTTTTCTTCCCTACTAAAATTGGTATATTACAAATTTGTATGTTCGACTTGGACCACTTATTTCCCTTATTTTTAATGACCAAATTATTATTATCCTTATCTTCTCCCAATTTATTTTCAAAATTTAATGCATTTTCTGATAATTTTTACTTTTGATTCAAGGGATTTTCGATATAATACCCCCAAATTTGCTCCTTGGCCGTCATATAGTCACTCTACAGGATATTCTCGCACATAATGACCGATATTTCTACATCGGAAACAAATTAGTTGGGAATTATTTCCTTCATTTTTCGTTTCCTTAGGTATCACATTATCATATTCATTTTTAATATTCAATCCTGTTATCCCATTTTTAACCAACGAAAACGCAACCGATGGAAAAGCGGACACTTGTTTGCTCTCTTATGAAACATCTATCCGAAGTATGACCTGTTCTTTCACAATTTAACATGACATTACCTTTCGTTCATTTTCTTTTATTTTGAAAGCTGACACATAACATTTGGCATTATGACCAGTATTTCCCGATCTTCCACAGATAATTGGTAGAATTCTCTGCATTACTCTTTCATTACAATCTCTTGTATGACCATATTTTCCACAATTATAACACGTTCCATTCGATGACGTTCTTTGATTTATTCTTTCCTTACACTCTTTGCTTATGTGACCATACTTTCCACATGCAAAACATGTTTCACTTGATCCCGTTCTAATTGACCAACACCCCCTTTATTTTCCTCCTTTTCATTTTGATTTCTATTAATATTTTATTATATACCTTTGATTTGCCTCGTTCAATTTTTTAATTTCCCATTCCATTTCTTCTACTTTTTTAAGTAGTTCTTTTTCTATTTTCTTTTTTTTTATATTTTCAATTTCTACTTCTTTTATTATCATATCCTTTACCATATTTATTATTTCAATCACCTTTCATATTTTTATTTTCCGTATTAATTTCATTTCTTTCTTTTTCAGAATATCGAATGATATCTGTTTTATTAACATTAATTCCAAATTTTCTTTTTCAGAAACTCTAACAATATCTGTTTTTAATATTCCATTTTTTTTATCATTTTTCATCAGTATATTTTTTTATTCTTAAATTCGGCTACAAAAGTGATTAAAGCACTAACCCTACTTACGAAGCACTAAAGAATGATATAAGTTTCATCGTTAGTGTTTCTAATCGTTAGGACAACTTCACGCCTAAATCGTGATGTCATAATTTTTATTTATCTTATAACTTTTATCCATATGGCGGTTAGCTAAATAAAGAACGGAATTTAAATATAGTATTTAAGCAATAAATAATGGCGAAAACCGGATGTTTAGTACTACTATAGTTTTTGTTTTGGCACGTCGCCATTATTTGTTCATTTTGTTTTTGTCGCCAATAACTTTTTATTCTTAAATTCGGCTACAAAAGTGATTAAAGCACTAACCTCCACTAACGAAGCACTAAAGAATGATATATTTTATCGTTAGTGCTTTCAATCGACTTTTAAGCGTGAAGTTGGCATAAGTTTTTATTTTTGCTTATAACATTTTTTCCTTAAATTCCTATACGGATTGAAGCACTAACAAGCACTAACGAAGCACTAAAAAATGACATATGATTCATTGTTAGAGCTTCTCGGCCAACTTCACGGAGCTTATTTCATTACATAACTTTTCTATTTTATCAAATTTTCCATTTTTTTCCCTATCCATTTGTTTTATAAATCTTATTTTATTTGCCTATTTCTTAATATTTCTTCTTTTATACCAAAAATAAATTATAATCCATAATATTAGCCTTAAATAAAGCTAATACTAAATAAATACTTATAGACATATTTTTGATTTCCACTTAATTATATATATTCTTCTTGTTGAACATTTTTTTTATACTTTAATTTATACCTTACAAATTATTCCAATTCTAAATTTAAATTTTGTATATTTATAGCAAACTTATTAAAAATTTTATTATAACAATCTTTATAATTCTAAATGGAAAAAAATATGCTAATGCAATTATTTTTAAAATAATAATAATTTTTTTTAGCCTTCGTATAGATGATAGTAATTGGTTACGCCGAATAACCTTTTTAATAATCATACGTGTCTTTTTTTTTACACGGCACCACTGTAATAAGCTCTTAATTTCAGGATTGTGCATTTGACCAGTAAAATACGTTTCGGTCAATTGACCGATATTTGACAGGTCAAATATGGTCAAATACGGTCAAATGGGGTCAAATTCAAATATATGTTTTTTTAAGTTAATATTAACTTTATTTTGAATATAATAATAAAATGAATCTATAATATTAATTTTTTAAATTCATTGTCATTCAATAACTAACATGTAGCTATCTGTAGCAGAGGTTTGTTCTGATCCATATTCAATATTATCATTTTCTTTAATATTTTTTAATCAATTTTCCTGATGTCTTAGATCTTCAATCGATTTCTATTTTCATAAGAATATTAACCCAAATCGACCTATTTCTTTCAAAGTAGAACTAGGAATTATTAGTCTCTTAATGGGCAGGGTGGACAAAGTTTAATCTATTAACTATGTCGGAATTGATTGTTTCTGGAAATTACTTTCCACATAATTTGCTATATTAAACATGCTATTTTTGCTTCTGAAATTAATTATATCACTTAAAATATTTTGGTCATCACGACCTTGTAAAATAGCTAATTCTTGAATTATATCACATACTTGTGAGTTTTCCTCTTGATATTGTGGACACAAAAAATAAGCAAACATTGTGATCACATGTATTTACATCGTTTTTCCCTTTTTTAAACATATTTTTAATTTATTTTTCCTTTAAATTTTTTAGAGTATTTGACCGTATTTGACAGGTCAAATACTTTTAAGGTCAATTGACTGAATTTGACTGGTCAATTGACCGACTTGCCAACCCTGCTTAATTTGCTTATTAATACTGCTTATTAATGGAATTATAGAATAGGCCTTTTTTAACTTTATTTTTTTCCAATTTTTCTATCATAAAAAAAAATATTTTTTAAAACAAAAAAAACGAAGAATTGAAAATAATAATTTTTCCAATATTATTTTTTTTATCAATTATTCATTATATAAAATAAATAAATACTTCGGGCCGGGTCGGGTTGGGCCTTAGAAATTTTTAAAAATATATCTTAAATTTATCAATTTTATATTGAATTTTTTATGTAAAATAAAAATATGTGATTTTATTTATAGAAAGTAGACGCCAAATAACATATATCGTTTATTTTGCGTAATTATAAAAATTAATTTCTATATTTAAATAAATTCGGGCCGGGCCAGGCCGGGCAAAACTTTATAAATAAATTTCGGGCCGGGCTGTGCTTAAAAAATTAGGCTCGATGCAGATCACTAACAGATATATTCTAATTCATTATTATGTAAAATTGTTAGTTCTGAAACACATATTTTATGAAAAATAAATGTATTTAACTTCACAATATTGGCGACAATCGTTATGAAAAACATTCTTGGGTATATCGGAAATTCTAGTGGAAGAGTTGATAATAATTTTAGTCATATTAGATAAATATTTAATAAATTTTGATATTATTAGTTATTTTAAATGTTGGTAAAGTTTATTCCGGTTAAAAATAATTATTCCGACACGGAATTAACAGATTTATTTTTATGTTATTTTGGTAATCATAATATTTTAAATATCGAAAACAAGCTCTTCCATTCCACGGAAACTTGACGATCTATCTCACATTTATGGAAATTAAAAGAATATAGGAGAAAACCTCATAAGGTTTTTTTGCCACGCGTATAGACTTTAATCGACTTAAAAGGGCGGAAGAAAAGACTTTGTTGGAATTTTTTAATAAACTTTTTATTGGCCAAATGTAACTATGGTAAGGATGTTGATGTCGTTGATAGCAGATTGGGGGATCTATTTATGTCTGGTATGGATTTACCTAATCTTGGAAGTGATCTTCGAGCATTATATCCGAAGGGTGTAAGGAAAAGACATTTCTTTCGAACTTATACTTAATCTTGCGTTTGCATCAGATAGCTAATAAAAAATTAATTTGAAAAGGCATCTGGACAAAAGCTCATCGTGTTTTTTTAAAAAATTGTTTATGATTTATAATAATTTTGTTAGATATCTATATTATAATTTTCCGATGTCCTCAATATGTCACGTAATCGCTACGTCATGTCATTGGTACGTGTTTATTTATTTATTATTATATATTTTTTTGTTGGAATCATCTGCTTTTATGAAATGATAATATTTTGAGAATAAATTTCTTAGAAAACATAAAGCTAACAACATCCACCACAACAGCCAAGCACGATGCAAATGAAAAGCAGCTATTATCCTCAAAACTAAAGGTAATAATAAATGTATATTTTTAATTTTCTGTCCAACCATAATAAAATAAATTTAAATATCTCTTAAAGACAAGTTACATATTCATTCCTGTCCTAGTTTGTAATAGTTATTGTTGATATTTAATTTAATAATTAAAATGTCAATCAAAAAATCATTTTTATTTTATTTTGTTAAAAAAATCCCTTATGTGTTTTATGATATAAATTATGGGGACATATTTTCTTCGATTAACAAAACAAGATATATTTTTTTGTTTTGAGTTTTGTATTCATAAAAGATCATCATTATTTTTATATTTGAAGAATATGTAATTATTTTATATATGATAATACATCATCATTGATTTTTTTATGAAAATATTAATTTTTCTGGATTATGTGAATTAATTTTTTTGATATAATTAATTTGTTTTATTGGATCAATTTTTTTGCAATCAATTTTTTTATACAAATTGATTAAAGATATTTAGCTTTGAAAATAGTGTATGTTTCAAGGGATTAAGTTTAAATCTTTTAATTACTATTAATTAACTTTCTTTAAAAGATATTTAGCTTTGAAAATATTGTATGTTTCAAGGGTTTAAGTTTAAATATTTTACTTACCATTAATTAACTAATTTTTTTAAACATCTTTGATATTTTATAATTCCTTTAATATATCAGGGCTCTTAAATAAAATAACTATCTATATTATAATTTTCAGATGTCCTCACTACGTCATCGCTACGTCATGTCATCGCTACTTATTTATTATATATTTTTATTATTTATTACTTATACTTATTCTAAATTAGTGTGCAAGTAAATTATATTATATTGAAACAAATTTAATATTTAAAGTTTTCTAAGAATATTTGAATGTTACGAGTTCAATTTTATTTAATTTAGAATAAATCAAAGTTACGAGTTTTATTTTATTTAATTTATTTTAAAATTTTTACATCTATTTTAAAACTAAAATATCATGCTTATATAACAATTTTAATATTAACATAATAATTTATATAAAAAAAATCAATTTTCACAATTTATAAAAAAAATCAATTTATACAAACATAAAAAAAAACAATTTAAAGGTTAGTATTAATCGGTCATATCAACATTCCACCCTTTAAAAAAATGATCTCCACTCAGGTTTTTCTTGCATGTGAATCTTATCGTGCAGTCAACGTTTCTTGATAGTTTTATTGTCATTAGTATATTTCATTAACTTTTGCTATTGAAAGTTTATTTGAAAGAAAAATATTTTATTATACATATATATTTTTTTAGTCTTTATTTCATTATAAAATTATCGAATTTTTTGGGCAAAATTATATTCCTGCTTGGTCTTTGACTAACAAGACTCTGTTCTTGTACTCCTAAATTTGAATCATCATTTCTTCTAAAACTTACAGTAAAAGGTATTGCATTTTCAGTATTTGTTTTCAAATGTGTCGTTTCATCAAGAGGTGTGCTATTCATAGACCTTTTTTTAATTTGGTCTAAATGTCTTCTAATAATTTTGTCTCCTGTATCCACTTCAAATGTTAAATTCCCATTTTTATGTTTTACCGTGCCTTTGTCCCATATATTATCCTTGAAGGTTTTATACCAAACTTTGTCACCATTCATGATATTTCTATTTGACGATAAATTGCGATTAAATTCATTCACTTTATCTTCTTGCGGTTTGATTAAGTCCCATCTGGATCTTATGGTTCTGTTGAACATCACTTCGCTTGGTATCTTGTTGGTTGTCGTGTTTGGTGTGTTGCGATAATTAAATAATAACTTTTCTAAAGCTATATCTAAGTTATTTTATCATTACTTTCCATATTCCTTTTCATGCATATTTTCATTGATCTTATCATTATCTCACACTAACCATTGGACTGTTGGTGGTGAGGCGTGGTGAAAATGTAATCATCCATGATCACTACAAAATTTTTTATACAAGCTACTTGTAAAATTCGTACCATTATCACTGATTATCATATCGGGTATACCAAACAAACTGATTATTTTTAATAATTCTTTAATTGTAGACTCAGTAGTTATATCTCTCATTCTTCTAATGATAGGAAACTTGCTAAGTGCGTCAACACATACCAAAAAATTGCTACCTTCTAACTGTGCAAAGTCGATGTGCACGCGTTCGAACACTTTTACAGCTGTTTCCCATGGATTTTGTATATTATGAGGATTGTCCGCATATTTATTACACGTATCACAGTTTCTCACCTCCTGATCTATTTCAGCGTTTAGACAAGGCCACCACAAATAATCTCTTGCCAACAATTTCGTTTTCCCTGCACCAAGATGCCCTTTGTGTAATATCTCCTTTCTCATATTAATCGGTATAATGATCCTATTCTCTTAAAAAAGACAATCTTTAATTAAGCTCAGTTCCATTTCCATATTTTTATATATTTTATTCTTTATCTGTTCATGATTCTTTATATTATTAATTACCTCCATTAATTCGATATCAAAACTAGTTTCTTGAACTATTCTTTTAAAATTTATTGGTAAGTCGCAAAATTTGTCATCAATTATTTCATCATCTATCTCTTGTACTATTTCTTCTGTGTTCATTTGGGGTAATCTTGACAAACAATCCGGTACTACATTTCGTTTCCCGGGTCTATGCATTATCGTAAAGTCATAAGCTCCCATAGCCAAACTCCATTTTTGAAGTCGCATTAATATGGATGAATTATCCTTAAGTCCCTTCGTAAATATATAAACGAGTGGCTTGTGATTTGTGAATATTGTAAATCTCGTACCAATTAAATATTCTTGAAACTTTTTTACCAGGTATATAACAGATAAAGCTTCCCTCTCTATATTGTAATTAAACTCTGATTTTAATAAAGCACTTGACGCGAAAGCAATGGGTTTCTCTTTGCCATCACTTTCAATATGAAATAAGACTGCGCCTAGACCTTTCTTTGAAGCATCAGTTGCAATGCCTATTGGTAGATCCGGATTATAAAAATTTAACGTAGGCGGAGTACTTATCAATTTTTTTAGGTCGTCGAAGCTTTCTTGATCTTTATTAACTATTTTGTATAAAGGATCAGCTATGTCCGCAAAATTACATAAAAATTTTCGATAATAGCTCGCCATCCCCAAAAAGGTTGCCAATTCATCTTTTGTCTTCGGTTCCGGCATGTTAAAAATAGCTTTTATCTTACCATCGTTGGGATGTATACCATGTTTGTCTATATCATGTCCCAAAGAGCGCATTTTATCTTGCAGGAATAAACTTTTGTCGAAATTGGGGGTTAATCCAAACTTGATGATCTTTTCGAATACTTTTTTAATGTTCTCCAAATGTATTTCATCATTATCACCTGTAATTAACAAGTCGTCAATGTAAAATATAACATCTTTTAAATCACCGAAAATGTTATCCATAGTTTGTTAGAAAATTGCCGACGAAGTTTTTAAACCAAACGGCAGTCTCGTAAACCTATAATAGCCCTTATGTGTCGATATCGTAAGGAAATCTCTTGATTCTTTGTGTATAGGTATTTGGAGAAACGCGTTTTTAAAATCTATCTTGGTAACCTTTAGATAATTTTGCGATTAAACCATTAATGCGTGGTATAGGGTACTTGAAATCTTGTAAAGCAGGGTTGATAGTATTTTTGAAGTCGACACAGCCGAAGTGAGCCATCGCTCTTATAAACGGGAGTGAGAGGACTAGCCCATCTAACATCTTCAACAGGTTCAATAATTTTATCGTTTATCCACTTTTGAAATTCTTTTGTTATCAAATCAATTCTAGAATAAGGTATACGCCTTGGCCGTATGATTTTCGGTGTGGCATCGTGTTTTCGTAATTTGACAAAGCTGCGTAGCATTGGTTTTTTGTTAAGTTTAAAATTGCATTGCTTAATTAATTCTTGTATAGTATTATCATAATTATCTTCGACCATATTCACAAATTTATCTAGTATATTCCCAAAAACTGTTATCCAGGTCCTTCCTAACAGTGCAATCTTATCACTCTAGACTACATAAGCAGTTAAGATTTGACTTTTGTCCTCGAATTTTGCCTTGACTCTGGTAGTTCCTAATACATTTATTGTGTTTCCATCATATCCAGTTAATTTAATATCTGATTTATTTAAGATTTTTACTCAAATCTTTTTCGCGATATGAATCGGTAGGATACTATACCTTTAGCCGGTATCAATCTGCATCAAAATAGGCATGTCGTTCAAATATACCGTAACCTTATATGCATCGTTAGCTGTGTAATTATTATCGGTATCTATATTGTTTATGTCTAAATTGTATAAATTATATTCTTTTCTTTCTAGTTTGTCAATCATCTTCTTTTATCTCTTCTATATTTACAGTGTTTATTTTATTTGTATATCGTGATTGATTATTATCGTTGTTATGATATTTACAATTGCATACTTGATTTCTTCCTTGATTTCCAATATTATGATTATCGTTATATCTTTGAATAAATCTTGAATCGTTATAATGTCTGTTATATCTGTAATTATAATCATTATTAAACCTATAATTATTATAGTTATTGTTATTATAATTAGCTCTATTATCAAATCTCAAAGAATTATTGTACGATCCTGGATAGTTTGCTCTGACGTTGTTGTAATAATTCGCGTTATAATTCTGATATCTAGGGTTGTAATTATTTCCTTGATATCTGGGGTTATAATTATTTCTTTGAAAGTCATGGCCTCTTGTTGTCCATCGTTGTCTGTTATCGTAATTAGATTGTAAATTTTGTCATTCGTCATGGTCTCCATATCTCACCAATTGTTGATTTTCTTCTGTTTTCCTGCCTCTTTGCCTTTCTACATGTTTCACGGTTGTATCATCTTCTGTTTTTTCGTTTGAAGAAATATTTTCAACTTTAGCAATTTAATGAAAGAGAAATGTAGGGTTGAGGATTTAATCTAGAATGGTTATTAGGATGGTCGCACAGGATAAAAATTAGACAGAAAACAGACACTTTATTAAATTCAATAGAAGAAAAATGATAGTCTTTATTGATTATATTACATGAATATTAACGTTGATGTGGTCTTTTTATTTTATAATATGGTTATACAAAAGAAAACAAGTGGTCTTAGAAAATGAAAATATATATCTATATATATATATTTAATCGCCTTGAGATGTATTTATATACATGTTAATTTCATTGAATAAAAAGATAATATGAACATATTTAAATATATATTACAACAAATTGAATAAGCGAAATATTTAAGAAGTATTTAAATATACAATGAATTACAACAAATTAAGCTAACATGTAACACAATTATATTTTCTTTTAATTTTAACTCTTCAAAATCATCTCTTAAAGTAAGAACTTCTGCTAATGTAATGTTTTCTTTTAACGTAATTTTCTGCCTAATATTTTTGCTGATTGATGAAATTTTTACTTTTTCAATAACTCTACTATCACTTAGCAAACATTTATTTTTTAAAATGCATAATCTACTTACTCAATTGATGTAACTTTCGTTTTTACCTTGTACAGCTGCGTTAAATAATAATAAGTTGGAATTTGTAGATTTCCTCGGGTGTAATAACCTTTTCAATCAATATCGATGGAATGATGAAGTCGGTAGGTGAACATATCTATTTGAGCTTGATATATACCTCATAGTCTTCTTTTAAAGGAACCTGCTTTTTCGATGTCCGAGATCTGAGTGTCCTTGAAGATGTCTTCGAATCTATTCAAAAAAAGATCGCCATTGCCTGAGTATATTGGAAATTCAATATTTATATTAACATTATTATTGGGAATCTATTTCATATTTATTTATTTATTTACGATTTCCTCGAATATGTAGCGGAACTGCCACCATAAAGTTTACTAAGAATATTTGAATGTTATGAGTTCAATTTTATTTAATTTAGAATAAATCAAAGTTACGAGTTTAATTTTATTTAATTTATTTTAAAATTTTTACATCTATTTTAAAACTAAAATTTAACAATTTTCATATTAACATAATAATTTATATAAAAAAATCAATCTTCACAATTTATAAAAAAAATCAATTTATATAAACATAAAAAAAACAATTTAAAGGTTAGTATTAATTGATCATATCAACAATATTTTTAGCTGTTTCATAAAAACTACTCTTTTAAATATAGTTATTTCTTTAAATCATTCTATTCTAAATTAGTATGCAAGTAAATTGTATTATATTGAAACAAATTATATATATGTATATAAAAACTACACTATTAAATATAATTATTTCTTCAAATCATTCTATTCTAAATTAGTGTGCAAGTAAAATATATTATATTGAAACAAATTATAGTCATGTATTTTAGATATCAAAAAATAAAAATAAATACATATAATATTTTTAGCTGATTCATAAAAACATTACATAGTAAGTTGAAATTTGTCCCACATAAAAAAGGACCTTTAATACACGGTGGGGTATATTTCATCCGGAATGATTTTTTTATTTTATTTATTATACAGATGTTATGAATATATCCCATATAAAAAATAATATTATTTATGTTTATTTAAATATTTTCGCGCGCAAAAAGTTTCTTATTTTATCATTTCCGTCTTTCCATTTTGTTTTTTCCAAAATATTTTTTAAAAATTTTTTAAATCAACTTTAATGGAATTCTCGTATGTTTGGGATATAAAAAATGGCAAGAAACATTTATATATTCTATCGATATATTTATCATAAATATCAATAATATTAAAAATGATCACCTATTTTTTTGACAGTTACAAAAGTATCCGGTGATTTATGTTCCGCTGTATAATGCTTATTTTATATTTATTTTCCGAGGCTTTTCTTCTTTCTAGTCGATGCGACTATTATCAATAGTTTTGCCATTCATAATTAAAATATTTTGTTTATATATAATAATTGAATTTTAAAATTCTTAGGTATTATTTTCAAAATAAATATACATGAAAAACTTTCGACTAAAGATTATCGAGAATCTTTTATATCAAAAATTATTGTATTGGGAGTATCATCATAGTTGCAGACCAATACAATAACGACTCCTGCAAAACACCATAAAAAATAAGTGGCTGATGATCTAAGGAAAAAGGGATCGGATCACAATCCCATTAAATTATTGATTCGGAATCGCGGAAAATACTAAGAAAGCGGTGCCACCACTATAGCACAACAAAAGACGAAATGAGGACATTCTGGGAATGTTCAATTTGTAAAGTATCACTATGTATTAAACGCGAAAAGAAATTGTTTTTTAATATTTTCCTAATAAAAAATAATTTATATTATATTTGCATAATACACAGTCGGACAAAAATGTCCCTCCCCCATTTATAAATTATTTTGTAATTTTTGTATTATATCGAAAAAATATTTTAAAAACAAGCTCAATCATTATTTTATTTAAGTTTTTATAGGTTAGCAATAGAAGGTTTTTTTTTAATTTTGAAATGTAGCAATAAAGGGTTAAATATAGTTAAAAAATATTTTATAAGTTACTATTATTTCTATTTTATTGATAATATATTTTAATTTATTTAAACATAATATTTATGTAAACATATCATCCATCTAGACCTCGATCTTACACGATAATTATACCAGACAATGGGTTTAAATTTCCAAACAGTGGATATTAATCCACCACACTGGAATGCTCTCTAAAGGGTTCAATGCTAGCTGACTCCTATATAGGTTTTATTTCAATAAAAATAATAATAAATTCTATTTATTCTTTCCTTTTTCTTCCTTTTTTCTATTTCTTTTCCCTTTCACTGTTCCTTTTCTCCCTTTTTTCTTTACCTTTCAATTTTTATAGGATGCTGATTTGGGTCGATTTACAAAAACAACCCTATTATTATTCTTGACAAAAAATCGAACCTATTATTATTATAGACAAAATAATAATATATAATCCACGGGATTTGGCAAAATATAGGTCAAACATTTTTGCCATCTACGAGCAAAATCTTCAGTCTTACATATTATTTTGGCTAAAATAATTGGGTTGTTTTTAAAAATCGACCAAACTTAGACATTTTAACTATCTTACTCGCCTCCCCTCATTTTCTTTTCATTATTTCCTTTTTTTTCCTTAACCTTTTCTTTCTTTCCCTTTCCCTTTCCTTTACTTTTCTCTTTCTCTTGCCTCTCAATTATCTTTTTCTTTACCTTTTCCTCTCCCTACTCCTTTCCATATTTCCTTTCCTTTCCTTTCCTTTCCTTTCCTTTCCTTTCCTTTCCTTTCCTTTCCTTTCCTTTCCTTTCCTTTCCTTTCCTTTCCTTTCCTTTCCTTTCCTTTCCTTTCCTTTCCTTTCCTTTCCTTTCCTTTCCTTTCCTTTCCTTTCCTTTCCTTTCCTTTCCTTTCCTTTCCTTTCCTTTCCTTTCCTTTCCTTTTCCTTTCCTTTCCTTTCCTTTCCTTTCCTTTCCTTTCCTTTCCTTTCCTTTCCTTTCCTTTCCTTTCCTTTCCTTTCCTTTCCTTTCCTTTCCTTTTCCTTTCCTTTCCTTTCCTTTCCTTTCCTTTCCTTTCCTTTCCTTTCCTTTCCTTTCCTTTCCTTTTCCTTTCCTTTCCTTTCCTTTCCTTTCCTTTCCTTTCCTTTCCTTTCCTTTCCTTTCCTTTCCTTTCCTTTCCTTTCCTTTCCTTTCCTTTCCTTTCCTTTTCCTTTCCTTTCCTTTCCTTTCCTTTCCTTTCCTTTCCTTTCCTTTCCTTTCCTTTCCTTTTCCTTTCCTTTCCTTTCCTTTCCTTTTCCTTTCCTTTCCTTTCCTTTCCTTTCCTTTCCTTCTTTCCTTTCCTTTTTTCCTTTTTTCCTTTTTATCTTTTTCCTTTTTATCTTCTCTTCTCTTCTTCTTCTCTTCTCTTCTCTTCTCTTCTCTTCTCTTCTCTTCTTCTTCTCTTCTCTTCTTCTTCTTCTTCTCTTCTTCTCTTCTCTTCTCTTCTTCTTCTTCTCTTCTCTTCTTCTTCTCTTCTCTTCTCTTCTTCTTCTTCTTCTCTTCTCTTCTCTTCTTTTATTTTCTTTTCTTCCCCTTTTTCTTTTCACTTTTTCCTTTTTATCTATTTTTTCTTTCACTTTCCCTTTTTCTCTATTTTTTATTTCACTTTCCATTATCCCTTTTCCTTTCCTTTTTTTCTCACCCCATTTCCTTTTTCCCCTTCTTGCCTTTCCATTTCCATTTTCATTCTCTTTACCTTTTCCTTTCCCTGCTCCTTTCCAGATTTTCTTTCCTTTCCCTTTTCCCATTTTCTTTTCCTTCTCATTTTCCTTTCCCTTATCTTTTTCTTTCCCGTTACATTTTGATTCCTCCTTTCAATTTTTCTTTTCCTTGCTCTTTCTTTTCCTTATCCTTTTTCTTCCTTTCATTTTCCCTGTTTATCTATTTTTTCTTTAACTTTCCCTTTTCTCTATTTTTTATTTCACTTTCAATTATCCCGTTTCCTTACCTTTTTTTCTCAGCTCATTTCTTTTCTTCCCTTCACCCGCCTTTTTCTTTCCGTTTTTCATTTCACATTTTCCTTTCCATTACTTTCCCTTTTTTTTCATTAACCCTTTATGCGACATAAATATGACAGTTTTAAGGTTGAGCTAACAATGTCGTTCATGATGCTATTTTAGAGGCGAATACCAATGCTCATTTTGCGTTTTTCTTTTACCAGCGGCCTAAGGCATATGCATCAGCTTTATCGGGACGCAATAGCTATTGTACGCTGCTTTGGTAGGCCATTATTCATTACTTTTACATGCAACCCTAAATGGGATAAAATTATGCATGAATTATTTCCTCATCAGCCTCCAGACGACCGCTCAGATTCATTTGATCGCTTTTTTCATCAAAATTTAAAATGTCAAAAATGATTTGTTCTAAATTTTAACAGATACACAAAAAATAAGTAATCCTCATCATTTTTTTAAAAAAATTAGCCTAAATTTAAATATATTCAGGGATGGGGAAATTAGAAAAATTTTTTTATACTATAAATGTTAAATAAACAGGGCCGTAGCCAGGAATTTTCAGCTAGAGGGCCAGCTGCTTACTTGAAGGGGCGACTATTTTTGTAAAATAAAACAAATAGTTAAGCATTAATAGAAATTTTTTGCTATTTTTATTAAAAATTTATTAATGTAATATGAATACAAAATAATACTATATATACAATTCTTTAAATGCATGATGATATTTTTTATACATAATATTTAGGATATTTTCAAAATTATGTGTTTTTTAACTTCTGCAGCTAATAATCCTTTAGCTATTTCCATATTATAATACAACGTTTCCATATTTAAGTTTAATAATGATTCTAATCGGGCCATTTTATCCGATATTAAATAATCAGGGTCAAAGGGGTATAATGTATTAAAACATGATAGAAGATTATAGTCATCTTGTTTAAATCTATCTAAAAAATGATCAATACAAAGTAATCAATAATTTCATAATAATTCCTTTTTAAAGAACTCCAATTGGAGTCTTTTTCACAATCAAATTGTAATCTGGTCTCGACTAAATCTTGAAAATTTATAGGCGTTTTACGTATCCTTGATAATTTGTGGGGAGTGAGATTAAATTTTGCTAAAAGTTTTCAGCCTTAATTCTAATCAAATCAAAAGAATTATCGCTTCTTTTATTTTTTAATATATTGATAGAATCAATACAATTTTTAGCATCCACTAGATTGGTACCTACTGACTGTAAATACTTATTTAGGGGATCTATTGTTATTATATCTCATAAATTATAATGGCTAATATAACGTAATTTATATTAACCCATTGAGATAAAAGACTGACTGAATCATGAGTGGAAACCTCTGAATTAAGGTTCTATTAGAAAATTTAAATAATACTTCACCAATAGCCTTAAAATTCTCATAAATGATGTGAGATGCTTTTAAATGACCAGTCCACCTCTGGTCTAAAAGTCTCTCAAGAGTATGGCCTGTATATTTACAGGATACGTTAAAGCGCCTAAAAAATTATATAACGCATTGGATAAATTAAAGAAATTAGAAATGATAACAATATTATTATGTTTTGAACCACAAGATGCAACATGTGGTTTTAGCGATGTATAAAAGGAACTTTTAAATTAGTTTTTCTTTTGAAGTAGGGTTTGCACCTCTTTATTTCGGCCAGAAATAATGATTGCCCCATCATATGCCTAGCTTATTATATTCGTTGAATTAATATTTAACTCATTAAGTTGCTTTAAAAGGCAATTAGTAATGCTTTCAGCAGAAAGACATTGTGAATTACTAATTCCTATTAAATTTTCCTGGACTTCTCCAGAAAAAATATAGCGAATAATTATACTCAGGTTTTCACAACATTGTGCATCTTTTATCTCACAAGCCTTAAGACAAATAAAAGGCATCTGGCTTTTGTTATATTTATCTGAAATATATTCAAACACGATATCTGCCATAATAGATATTACTTCGATTTGAATCTGGGGTGATGTATATTGGGCATTTTTGGGTATAAATTTCATGATTTTATTTAATTCAGGATCTTTTTGGATGGTGTATGATAATATTGCTGTAAATAGTCCAGAGGAATAAATTATGTTTTCATCAGTTGCAGCATCCGTAATTTTTAATGAAACAATCCAACTAAAAGGTAGCTCCTGTATGCTTAGAAATAGCAACAAATCAAATATTGTTTTATGATAGTAAAGGTTATATTAACACTTTTATTTTTAAAAAACTTAAAGTTATAAAAATAAAACAAAACAATGATGAAAATACTATTTAAAAAAATATTAAAATTATAATTGACATACTATATCTATATTCTATATAAAAATATATAATTAAGAGAAGAGATATTAGAAAAATAATTTAAAATAATATATTTAGGTATGATCGGCGGGGCTCAATGACCCATGTATGGATATTCAGTTGGATCGAGAAATTTCAATTGATATTCTTTGTCGAAGGTAAAAGCCTACTTTTAGATCACCTGTGATTAAACGTAACCTAATTATGGTTAATTTGTTGGCTTACCAAAATTTTTGTTATTTCAGTATTTTCTTCATAATTCTAAATATTCATGTTTTAAATAACTGGTTATATTATGACAATAATATTGTGATTGAACCATAATAAATAAAATAATTATCATTGAAATAAGTACAATATAAATTTTTTTAAAAATTTTGGGGGCCGGGAAAATTTATGGGGGCCATTTTGAGGGCCAAAGATTTTTCCTGGGGGCCTGACCCCCCCCCTTTCCCTGGCGCTGTAAATAAGTATAAAATTTTTTGAAAAAAAGTATAATTCAAATGCTTTGATGATTTGCATAAATAATTACTTTGACGTATACCTTTTAAAGTAGATTTTTTACCACTATAATATTAAACATTTATAATCGATTATTCTGAAACCTCCCATGGAACAATCGCCACAACGTCCACACCCGATTTATCGGAAGCAAATCATAATCAAGGATGATGATATAATGATTGTCAATTACAACTTTCACTATAAATTTGATTCGGGGGTTGTCTTATTCGCGCAAAATATCGTTTTTCCAGCGGTTCCGTCCTCCATAATCTATCAGGTCGGGCAGGTTATGCCATCGTAAGTGCTGCTGTTGACCGAAGTATAAGGGTTTTCTTGTTATCCAGGTCCTTTTGCCATAATTTTTGTAATTATTTCTGAATTTACTGATTCCTTATAAAATTTATTTGGCCGAATGCGCCGGTTCTGCCACTCCAAGTAAAGTATCCATGTTTTTATCTATTCTGTTTTTTAAGTGATCTGAATGTCTTTCCCATAATTTTTTCTCTTTTTCCAATAGATATGATATAGAGAACAGAGGTGTTTTTTTTTAATTTACCTGGAATCTACAATTATTCTCCGTAAAAATCGGTCCATATCTCTTTTTGTATACCAGAACCCTCTATCCGCATAATCCCATTCTCGGCTTATTGTGGTCTTAATTTTAGTGTTGTTAAACGGCTCGTTTTGAGCCGATTTTTAAAAACGGCTAACTCAATATTTTAGCCAGAAAACTATTGTCAAAGTCTCGAGATTTCTCTAATAGTTGTTCAAACCTTTGTTCCTCCTACAAACAAAATTTTCAGGCTTGCGTAATATTATTCTAGATGAATATTGAGTTAGCCGTTTTAAAAATCGGCTCAAAACGAGCCGTTTAGCAAAAACTACTTAATTTATTGTTAAATCTTAACGTAAGGCTGGTGAAGATTTGGATATTGTATATAGTATTTCGGGATTTCTTCCTTCGTGTTAGGCGTCTTTCTAAGAAATTTTAGTGTCAAACAAATCTCTCAGCTTCCCAGCTCTTCTTGGCTAACGATATTAAAATATGTTTTGTGTCTAAGTTTTTACAAAATTCTTTAAATATTGCGAAAAAGTCCTGTCTTGTCTATGGTCTTCCGCTTGTAACATATCGGGCTATCTTACAAGATTGAATAATTTGCTGTTTTTTCCCAACTTGTATATTTGATATAGCCTTTAATTAATCATATATCACATTGTTGATATCTGGAAACTATTCTCATTTATTTATTGTTTATCAGCTAATGGTAGTTTGGATAGCTTGTCACAATTTTCAAGTTTTTTGGTTCCCCTTAAATATAAGTAGTAATTAAAATTAGCTAAAAGAATGGCCATCTAATTAACCTGGGAGCCATATCACTAAATTTGTGAGACTCATAAAGATATTAGAGTTTTTTGATCAGTTATAATTGAAAAGGTATTACCTACTACAATGATTACAAAATTTTAAGATAAAAAATTATCGATGATTTTTTTCAACTTCGACAGAAATCGTTTGTGACCTAGAAGCGATCGTTTTATCGATATTCGACGAAAATGTGGATACTAGGCCTATTTTATAATTTGAGGCGTCCTTGCTAGTGTAATGGGTAATTTGGGATTGTAGTGGATCAATATAGATGCTTGTATGATTATGTTTATAGCACCTTATCTCTCCTTTGATTCCAATTTCCAGCATTTGTTTATGTATAATAATAATTCAAAACTCAACTATTTGTATTTCATATACATCTTTCATATGATTTTTTCTTCCACACTCATACTTCGTCCTCTTACATTTTTACATTCTTTCAATTTTTCATCTTTATTATTATTGTGTTTTCATAAATCTATGAAAATTTATCAGATGAACCCTGTCATGTTATTTATTGTATTTTGTATATATTTAATTAATTATTTGATTATAAAAGAAAGGGAGAATTATTTTTTTATGAAATAATTTTGCACGAAAAATTGTATTCATTATTATATTATTTGCAACTAGAATTTGACTTGAAATAAAAGAGAAATATTTGAAATAATTTATATATTAAATTAAGTGCATCGCCTATATACTTTTATTCTGACCTATCTTAATTTGATTTGTGTTTTCCTTTGTTATTGTTAGGTTAGTTGCAATTTTCCATGTCAAGTTTTGGCAAGTGATTTTGGTAATAGGAAAAAAAATCCCGGAAAAAACCCCCGGAAAGAAACCCCCGAAAAATAAAGCCCCAGGAAAAAAACCCCCGGAAAAAATACCAGCGGATTTTTTTTTTCTATAGAATTTGTCACAAGAAGCAATTCTCAATTCCAAACACGTCGAATTGTGATTCGATTTCCTCCAGAAACTTGGAACGTGAATGAGCACTCTATCCAACGAAGAACGCACAAATAATCAATGCGAAGGTTGGAATCATCGTTTTTCTAATCTGGTTGGGAATAAACACCCATCAATCTGGGTATTGATTTAAAAAAATGAAATGCAAGGTGGCTACCGAT